ATGTTTTCGAAGTCGAACTGCTGGGAAATTTAGCCCTTTTTCTATAGATCCAGTTTGTAATAATATTCAATCACGTTTAAAAAAGTTTTTAGCTGATTTTTTTATTCTTTTCTTATTTTTTCTTTATAATCTTCTTTTTTAATCTTTATCATTTTTTTCTTTCCCTGAGTAATCGAATCAGGAAAAAGCTGAGATTTTCAACCCCAAACGTCACATAGGTAGCAAAAGACTCCATACAAGGCAAAATACAGATAAAAGGAGATGCTATCAGGGCTAAAGAACTTAAAGATTTTCACAGAACGGAAAAGGGCAAACTGGGATAAAAAAAAATGAAATTAAAAATAGAGAATAAAGGTGAAAAACAATAGCCCCCTTTTAAAAAAATAATGAGAGAGAACTAAATAATTTAAATAACACCAATTTTGATCAGTAGAGAATTAACAAGGGGTTTTTCTTTCATTATTTTATTATTATTTTTATTATTTTTATTATTATTTTATATTATTATTTTTATATTAATTGTTCTGTTATTTTATTAATTTTTTTTTTATCACACGGCCGATTCCCACCAAGCAGGGGGGCCCAAAAAGAAAAACTTTCACCATCTTTCACTCCATCACTGTCTTCCCCAAAGGGGTGCTTTCCCCTACATTTTTAAACTCAACATTAACACCCCTCCTTAAATGCAGCACTGTACTTCCCATCTCCAGGACCAAGCCGGCCTGCCGGTTTCCCTGAATCCCTTCATAAATTTTATTTTTGCTCACACTCCAACAGCAGTCAAGAAAAAAAACCATTTGTCTCCATTCACTCCTATAAAACACGCCAGCATCCCGCTGGAAGTCCAAGCCCCTCCACACAAAACCTTTTTTTACCCCCTCCCCCCAACTTTCCTGGGCCACCCCAAACCCCGCCTTCCTTCCCACAGACTGATAAACTTTTGAAGTTTTTCTGTTTCGCTCCATTCTCTCCACATTCCGAACCACCTAAACAACCCTTCCTCACCCCTCTGGCAACAGTTTGGAAATCCCGCACCTCCCCCCTAACCCAAACTACAAATTCTCTGCTTTATATTCACACCACCAATTGCCTCAGACCACTCTCCACTGCCTCCACCTTCTCCTCGCTGCAAAAGTTCATCACCCATGCTTTACACCCCCCAAAAGAGCGTTTTTTAAAACTATCTCTCATACATTCCCCCTTTGCCTCCAAGACAAAGTTCTTTGTCTCCCCGACTCCTAATGCACCACTCACCCTTTTCCCTCATAAATTCTAAATTCCCCACCTTTCTAGACCCATCCCTACCGCCCACTCCCAAATATTGAATATTTTCACCCCCTCCATACTCTCTCCCTCCAATCTGAATCAATCTTCATACCTAATCTTTTTGTTATCCTCATAACCTTACTCTTTCCTGTATTCACTTTCCAATTTTCTTCGTTTGCACACCCTACCAAATTCATCCACCAATCTCTGCAACTTTTCTTCAGAATCTCCCAAGAGCACAGTGTCATCAGCAAAGAGCAACTGTGACAACTCCCACTTTATGTGTGATTCTTTATCTTTTAACTCCACGCCTCTTGCCAAGACCCTCGCATTTACTTCTCTTACAACCCCATCTATAAATATATTAAACAACCACGGTGACATCACACATCCTTGTCTAAGGCCTACTTTTACTGGGAAAATTTAATTTCCCTCTTTCCTACACACTCTAACTTGAGCCTCACTATCCTCGTAAAAAACTCTTCACTGCTTTCAGTAACCTACCTCCTACACCATACACCTGCAACATCTGCAACATTGCCCCCCCCCATCCACCCTGTCATACGCCTTTTCCAAATCCATAAATGCCACAAAGACCTCTTTAGCCTTACCTAAATACTGTTCACTTATATGTTTCACTGTAAAAACCTGGTCCACACACCCCCTACCTTTCCTAAGGCCTCCTTGTTCATCTGCTATCCTATTCTCCGTCTTACTCCTAATTCTTTCATTAATAACTCTACCATACACTTTGCCAGGTGTACTCAACAGACTTATCCCCCTATAATTTTTGCACTCTCTTTTATCCCCTTTGCCTTTATACAAAGGAACTATGCATGTTCTCTGGCAATCCCTAGGTACCTTACCCTCTTCCATACATTTATTAAATAATTGCTCCAACCACTCCAAAACTATATCCCCACCTGCTTTTAACATTTCTATCTTTATCCATCAATCCCGGCTGCCTTACCCCCTTTCATTTTACCTACTGCCTCACGAACTTCCCCCACACTCACAACTGGCTCTTCTTCACTCCTACAAGATGTTGTTCCTCCTTGCCCTATACACGAAATCACAGCTTCCCTATCTTCATAAACATTTAACAATTCCTCAAAATATTCCCTCCATCTTCCCAATACCTCTAACTCTCCATTTAATAACTCCCCTCTCCTATTTTTAACTGACAAATCCATTTGTTCTCTAGGCTTCCTTAACTTGTTAATCTCACTCCAAAACTTTTTCTTGTTGTTGTTGTATTACTATTATTTTATTTTTATTATTGGTAATGTTATTGTTGTAATTATTATTATTATTATTATTATTATTATTATTATTATTATTAGTAGTAGTAGTAGTAGTAGTAGTAGTAGTAGTAGTAGTAGTACTAGTAGTAGTAGTAGTAGTGGTAGTAGTAGTAGTAGCAGCAGTAGTAGTAGTAGTAGAAGTAGTAGTAGTAGTAGTAGCAGCAGTAGTAGTAGTAGTAGTAGTAGTGGAAGTAGTAGCAGTAGCAGCAGTAGTAGTAGTAGTAGTAGTAGTAGTAGTAGCAGCAGTAGTTGTAGTAGTAGTAGCAGCAGCAGCAGTAGTAGTAGTAGTAGTAGTAGTAGTAGTAGTAGTAACAGTAGTAGCAGCAGCAAATTCACAACAACACTAAAATCGTATGGGCTATTCATTGTCACTCAAGCTGGTAGGAACGCAGCATTTCCTCCAACCTAAAGCAGTTTTTATCCTTGTTAATGAGAATCTTTTAGTCAAGCTTGTAGGAGGAATCCTTTAACATCTGATGCTCTAAGGCACATCAAAGCCCTCTTAGACACGAACCTCTCAAGGGTAATAAAAATGCAGTATTCCCAGAAGGTTTTCACATACTGAGAAAAGAAACAGAAGAACAGGGACGAAGGAGAAACTGTACAGATGATAAGAGAAAGAGGAACGACACTGAAAGGATGGATGAAAAAGATATTATGAACAAGGATACTCAATGATTTCGTGATTGGTAGGTTAGCAGCCAGATAATAATAATAATAATAATAATAATAATAATAATAATAATAATAATAATAATTATTATTATTATTATTATTATTATTATTATTATTATTATTATTATAAAAATAATAATTTTATTTATACATGTATAATGTATATCAAAACCATATTAGCAGCATAAGAAAAAAAATCCTATCTAATCAAACACGTTTAGCAACCTGAGAATAAGCAACTGTATGTAACTAGACTCGTTCCTCTATGGCAAGAAGCGATTTGTCCCGTGAAAGTCATTAACTAAGTTTGATCATAAGAAGCTACGTACAACAACATACACACACACACATACATCTGTAAGCCAAGGCTGCAATACAAGAGGAAAAGCCATTCAGACAAGATTAAAATAAAAAGTGAAAGTAAAAAATAATATAGTAAAAAGTACAGTATCTATAAAAATTCCTTTAAAATCGTTAATGTCGAAAGACTCACCAAAAAAAAAAAAAAAAAAATCCCTCTTGGTCCCCAGAGGTGTCCTTGTGAAAAGAGAAGCTTCGACAAAATGCTGAAGCCAAGGGCTGTTATGCATGACTCACAGCACGCCGTAAATCATGCAAAGGATAAAAGAGAAAAACTAAGAGGAAGTGCATGTGGTCACTTCTTACTCCCTCAGACAACCGTCTCACCTTCATCAAAAACCCGCACTTGGGAAAGGAATCTTACGACAACGTTTCGCTTCGTCATGGTCCTTCGTGATGTCACTGTGACCTGTTGAAGGATGATGACCGTGTCCCTAAGTCTGGTCAAACCCTTTATGACCTGTTGATGTAGGCTAAAGGAACGATCCTTTTTAACTATGAGAGGCTGTCCATTTGTACTGTGAGAGAATAAAGAAACTATCTGATGACTTAACATTGTCAAAGTTGAAAGGAAGTCTAATAAATTGAATAGGAAGCGGCAGCTATAAATTCCAAAAGATAGTTTTAATGGTATTCATGGCAGACCTCAATAAACCAGGACCCAGTGGAAGTGATTGGTTTCGAGAAGGACCTGCCTAGTTTGGGCCAGAAGACCTGCTTCAGTACTCCTCCATTCTTATATTCTTAACATCGGTCGACAAGGGGACGCTAGGAGCCACGACACGTAACCTAACACATCACAATAAAATACCAACATAAACAAAATAAGTCATGTGTTATTTGCATGACAGTAAGTTATGCCACTCAATGGAATATAGCAAATTAGCATGGAGTGTTTTTTGTGTCTGTGTGTGTGTGTGTGTGTGTGTGTGTGTGTGTGTGTGTGTGTGTGTGTGTGTGTGTGTGTTGATATTTGTTTGTTTGTGGGTCTCCAAGAGCGACGGGGGTTCATTGACTATTAACCTTGTTTCTGTCTTTAAACATTATGTATTATGTATTATGTGTGTGGTGTTGTTGTGTATTAACTGTGTTGTGTGTGTGTGTCCTTTGGTATTTTGTATGTTGTGTGTGTGTGTGTGTATGCGCTCACCTATTTGTGGTACCTGTAGTCTCTTTACTTGCCACTTGCCGCGTTTCGCTCCTCATAGTTTAAATATCCACATAAGTCAAAATTCCAGGACTGAATAACCCCTTTCCCCCCCCCCAACAGGTTTAGCTCTTTTAAACGCACAAAAAAAAATTCTGTAAAATTACCATCTCCAAGTGTTTGTAACTTTTGGAATTCATGAAAAGCCTAACACAACAAGGCAATCTTACAGAGCACTCAGGGCTGGGCAGATGAAGACATGCTTCGCATGAGAGAGATGGACGTGCAACAAGTTGGGGACGCAGGCATACGTCAAGTCGGAGACGTGGGCGAGCAACGAGTAACGTACTGGACGGTGGTAAGTGACACGTGGTCGGAATTCTGGACCAGCACCGCCATCTCTGGGATAAGCAACGCTGGGAGAGCAAACGACCGCCTTCCTCGGGTCCTCTGGCTTCTACTCTTCGGCGTTGGGACTTACTACACCGTCAGAGACACCATCGGCGTCATAGACAACTATTTGTCTTACCCTTACACCACTCAGGTGAGACTTGGAGTCAGTCATAAGTTCTCTTGTTATCCAGTTTAAGTCTTTTGTCTCCTAGGTGAGTTTTTGATCTTAGACAACATAAATAAGTCTTCGGTCTTCAAGGTGAGTCTTAATCCTTTCCGATAAGTTTCTGAGTCACTCAGAGAAAGTTTTGTTTCTTCTTTGTGAGTTTTTCTGCTGCTCAGTGAGACTGAGCAGTTCCAGGAAACATACTATCTTCAGTATATTTTGAGAGCAGTTCAGATGGATCTTGGGGTAGTTCACATATGTCTTGGGTAGCTCAGGTGATTTTGTATATAGAGTGCATGGGAAAGGCAAATAGTAGCGGACTTTCAAGTCCACTTCGAGGATGTCTACTAAGGAGAATTCCCTGGTTTTTTTTCCTGCGGGCCCTGCTAGCGTGAAAAGCAGGGGAAAAAACATATCATACTACATTGAAAAATAGCATAGGATTTACAGGAGAGACGGAACTGGATGGAAGAGGTGAGGTACAACTACATCTACTAAAGTTTTACTATTTCTATTTTCATCTACTCAAGTTACTCCACTGACACTCGAAGAACATTGCATTAATTCTTCTATTGGTTACCACTAGTTTAGATAAGACTATCACAACCCTCTACACTTTCCACTACTATTATTATTGTTTGGTTGCATCTCTGTCAACTGATCGTCCTGTTGAAGCCCTTGTACAACATTAGGAAACTGCTGACTTCAAAGTGTCCCGTCAATTTTATGTACATGACAGTCCATGCGAATTTTAGTAAGGGTTTAGTGAGGGTTTAGTGAGTGGTTGAGTGAGGTAGTGAGTGTACTAGCTCTTGTCCTCCCTTACCAGTTCTTCAAATGCTTCTTCGTGTTTGAAGGTTTCAAAGCCATTCTAAAGGTTTGAGTGAAATTTCCTAGATTCCTTTGCCTAAGAGGAAAAAAGTTAAGTGCTTTGAGTCTTTTCATTAGATGTGTTTCTGAGCGATAGTACGGGTTTGACAGCTCTTCTCTGTACCCTTTCCAATATTTATATTTTTCCCCTTTACTTCATTTGGGGACCAGGAGGCTGTCTAATAAATGCATTGTGAAGTATCAATATGGCGTCTTGTGTATTTTACTTGAAGCTTTTAGCTATAAAATTTAGAATTCTGTAAGCTTTGCTGGTTGCAGATAGACGCTACTTTGTACCTTTAAAGTCGGAGACAGACACAACTTTGTACATTTGATGTCGCAGATAGACACTACTTTGTACCTCTGAGGTCGCAGATAGACACTGATTAGTACCTTTGAAGTAGCTGCTTATGATTACTTCAAGGTCCTTTTCCTGTACTTACTTCACTTATTTCATGTTTCAGCGAGTCTGACTGAGACAGGGACAATCAACGTATGCACTGGATTGTCCAAGCTAACCTTGAATTATACGGGTCAGTCTTTGATCGTCCAGATGAGCTGAAGGGAAAGCGTTAAACGCGAAGACGTCACACAGAGCATGATAAGCGAGAGACAGTCAGCTTTGATCCAAGAGAAGGGAGGGTAGCTCCAGCAAGAACTGGAGCTATTCCAGTAAAGAACTGGAGCCAATTGAACAAGACGTTGACGAAGGTCATGAGGTCATGGTAAATGCATCGAGAAAACGTCAATTATCTCCTTATCTTAAAAAAAAAGTTCTCAAACGCAGACTGAGGTTTCCCTCACTTCAGTATATCTTGGTTGACAAGACTTTGCATAACATGTCATGTTGACTCTAATTTGGGTTGACCACAGTTTAGATCAGAAATTTCTACTGAACTTAAGGCCACGTGGAGAGCCTCATCAGCAGAGACCCGCTCTGAAGATGGTCTCATACTGGGACAAGAATATACAGGTCTGCGTTTATTAACGTTTAAATTGTCTACCCCAGCTACTTCTCATGTTTCATAGAGGGGTAAACTAACTCTTAAGTTATACAAAATGATTATTAAACGAAACATACCAAAAGCCAAATATTTTATTTAAGAGAAAGGTATAGTAATGTCCTTAAAAGCAGGTGTAAATGAATACCAAATATATTTATATATATATTATATATTATATATTATATATATATATATATATAAATATATATAAATATATATATATTTATATATATTTAAATATATATTATATATTTTAAAATATAAAATAATATATAATATATATATATATAATATATATATATATATATATATATATATATATATATATATTTTTATTTATTATCTCACGGGCCGATTCCCACCAAGGCAGGGTGGCCCGAAAAAGAAAAACTTTCACCATCATTCACTCCCATCACTGTCTTGCCAGAAGGGGGCTTTACACTACATTTTTTAAACTGCAACATTAACATCCCTCCTTCAGAGTGCAGGCACTGTATTTCCCCATCTCCAGGACTCAAGTCCGGCCTGCCGGTTTCCCTGAACCCCTTCTAAATGTTACTTTGCTCACACTCCAACAGCACGTCAAGTATTAAAAACCATTTGTCTCCATTCACTCCTATCAAACACGCTCACGCATGCCTGCTGAAAGTCCAAAGCCCCTCGCACAAAAAACTTCCTTTACCCCCTCCCTCCAACCTTTCCTAGGCCGACCCCTACCCCGCCTTCCTTCCACTACAGACTGATACACTCTTGAAGTCACTCTGTTTCGCTTCATTCTCTCTAAAATGTCCGAAACCACCTCAACAAACCCTTCCACAGCCCTCTGGACAACAGTTTTGGTAATCCCGCACCTCCTCCTAACTTCCAAACTACGAATTCTCTGCATTATATTCACACCACACATTGCCCTCAGACATGACATCTCCCCGCCTCCAGCCTTCTCCTCGCTGCAACATTCATCACCCATGCTTCACACCCCTATAAGAGCGTTGGTAAAACTATACTCTTTTATACATTTCCTCTTTGCCTCCAGGATAAAGTTCTTTGTCTCCACAGACTCCTAATTGCACCACTCACCTTTTTCCCCCCATCAATTCTTAATTCACCTCATCTTTATAGACCCATCCGCTGCAAAGTCCACTCCCAAAAATCTGATACATTCACCTCCTCCATACTCTCTCCCTCCAATCTGATATCCAATCTTTCATCTCCTAATCTTTTTGTTATCCTCATTACCTTACTCTTTCCTGTATTCACTTTTAATTTTCTTCTTTTGCACACCCTACCAAATTCAAACCACCAAACTCTGCAGCTTCTCTTCAGAATCTCCCAAGAGCACAGTGTCATCAGCAAAGAGCAACTGTGACAACTCCCACTTTATGTGTGATTCTTTATCTTTTAACTCCACGCCTCTTGCCAAGACCCTCGCATTTACTTCTCTTACAACCGCATCTATAAATATATTAAACAACCACGGTGACATCACACATCCTTGTCTAAGGCTACTTTTACTGGGAAATAATTTCCCTCTTTCCTACATACTCTAACTTGAGCCTCACTATCCTCGTAAAAACTCTTCACTGCTTTCAGTAACCTACCTCCTACACCATACACCTGCAACATCTGCCACATTGCCCCCCTATCCACCCTGTCATACGCCTTTTCCAAATCCATAAATGCCACAAAGACCTCTTTAGCCTTATCTAAATACTGTTCACTTATATGTTTCACTGTAAACACCTGGTCCACACACCCCCTACCTTTCCTAAAGCCTCCTTGTTCATCTGCTATCCTATTCTCCGTCTTACTCTTAATTCTTTCAATAATAACTCTACCATACACTTTACCAGGTATACACAACAGACTTATCCCCCTATAATTTTTGCACTCTCTTTTGTCCCCTTTGCCTTTATACAAAGGAACTATGCATGCTCTCTGCCAATCCCTAGGTACCTTACCCTCTTCCATACATTTATTAAATAATTGCACCAACCACTCCAAAACTATATCCCCACCTGCTTTTAACATTTCTATCTTTATCCCATCAATCCCGGCTGCCTCACCCCCTTTCGTTTTACCTACTGCCTCACGAACTTCCCCCACACTCACAACTGGCTCTTCCTCACTCCTACAAGATGTTATTCCTCCTTGCCCTATACACGAAATCACAGCTTCCCTATCTTCATCAACATTTAACAATTCCTCAAAATATTCCCTCCATCTTCCCTATACCTCTAACTCTCCATTTAATAACTCCCCTCTCCTATTTTTAACTGACAAATCCATTTGTTCTCTAGGCTTCCTTAACTTGTTAATCTCACTCCAAAACTTTTTCTTATTTTCAACAAAATTTGTTGATAACATCTCACCCACTCTCTCATTTGCTCTCTTTTTACATTGCTTCACCACTCTCTTAACCTCTCTCTTTTTCTCCATATACTCTTCCCTCCTTGCATCACTTCTACTTTGTAAAAACTTCTCATATGGTAACTTTTTCTCCCTTACTACTCTCTTTACATCATCATTCCACCAATCGCTCCTCTTCCCTCCCGCACCCACTTTCCTGTAACCACAAACTTCTGCTGAACACTCTAAACACTACATTTTTAAACCTACCCCATACCTCTTCGACCCCATTGCCTATGCTCTCATTAGCCCATCTATCCTCCAATAGCTGTTTATATCTTACCCTAACTGCCTCCTCTTTTAGTTTATAAACCTTCACCTCTCTCTTCCCTGATGCTTCTATTCTCCTTGTATCCCATCTACCTTTTACTCTCAGTGTAGCTACAACTAGAAAGTGATCTGATATATCTGTGGCCCCTCTATAAACATGTACATCCTGAAGTCTACTCAACAGTCTTTTATCTACCAATACATAATCCAACAAACTACTGTCATTTCGCCCTACATCATATCTTGTATACTTATTTATCCCTCTTTTTATTAAAATATGTATTACCTATAACTAAACCCCTTTCTATACAAAGTTCAATCAAAGGGCTCCCATTATCATTTACACCTGGCACCCCAAACTTACCTACCACACCCTCTCTAAAAGTTTTCCTACTTTAGCATTCGGGTCCCCTACCACAATTACCATATATATATATATATTATATATATATATATATATATATATATATATTATATATATATATATATTATATATATATATATATATATAATGCACATGATTTATTTAATAGAGAAATAGAGTAAGTATGAAATTGTAAAGAAACTGACATTTCAGTTTCCTACCTTTCCACCACCTCCAAAACACACATACCCTCACCTCCCACATCCCCTTCCCAACCTCTTCGCCAAATATACATGCACACTTCCCTTTCAAAACATAAATTTATTTTGCTTCTCCAGATGGATCTCCAGCACATGAGCACCGTGCAGTTTCCGGCAGTGACAGTCTGCAACCAGAACCGCCTCAGTTGCCAGAAGTTATTCAACAAGATGCTGGAGGTTCTCTCCAACACGTCTGTCAACAGCTACGTCAGTGGCTCTGGCAGTCACCTCAACACTTCTTCCGACGGCTACACGCTCTTGGTTCTCTACAATATCTCCAGTTGCGGCGTAGAAACAATAGGCTGCCCCGCGGTACAGATGGCCTATTACTCGAACAACTTCACATCGGGAAAGAGCATCCCTGTGGACCTGCGCCAGATGGATTATTGCCTTTACTGCTCCGCCATCCTACAGAGTTACAGGGACACCTGCAAAAGCTCTTCGACACAATATCTGGAGAATCTTTGGAATAACCTCAGTTGCTGTAATATCCCTCCGCAACCACTCGGAACCTGTCCAGGTCCTGGTCCCTGCCCAGGTCCTAGTCCATGCCCAGGTCTTGGTCCATGTCCAGGTGCTAGACCTGCTTCTGGTCAAGGTGTTCCACCTGCTTCTGGTCAAGCTGTTCCACCTGCTTCTGGTCCAGGTGTTCCAGCTTCTTTTGGTCCAAGCGTTCCAACTGCCTTTGATCTGCTTGCTCCAGCTGCCGCTGGTACAGCTGCGTCAGTTGGCAATGGTCTGATAACAGAAGCTGTTTTGGGTCCAGTCACAGCAGGTGACTCAGCTGCAGCCACAGTTGTTACCTCTGGTCCAGCCCCAGTAGTTCCTTCTGGCTCACTTACAACAGCTGTCTCTGGTTCAGTCATCCCAGCTGCCTCTAGTGTAGTAACTCTACCAATCTCTGGTCTAATCCCAGCAGCTACCTCTGGTCTAGTCACAGCAGCTGCTCCTGGTTCAGTCACTGCAGTTGCCCCTGGTCCAGTCACAGCAGCTGCCCCTGGTCCAGTCACAGTAGCTGCCCCTGGTCCAGTCACAGCAGCTTCCCCTGATCCAGTCACAGGAGCTGCCCCTGACTCAGTTACAGCAGTAGCCCCTGGTCCAGTCACAGCAGCTGCCCCTGACTCAGTTACAGCAGTTGCCCCTGGTCCAGTCACAGCAGCTGCCCCTGGTCCAGTCACAGCAGCTGCCCTTGGTCCAGTCACAGCAGCTGCCCCTGATCCAGTCACAGCAGCTGCCCCTGGACCAGCCACAGCAGCTGCCCCTGGACCAGCCACAGCAGCTGCCCCTAGCTCAGTTACAGCAGCTACCCCTGATCCAGTCACAGCAGCTGCCGCTGGTTCAGTCACAGAAGGTGCCTCTGGTCCAGCCATACCTGCAACCTCTGGTGCAGCAGGTGTTCCTGTTTCTGATCCATTAACAGCAGGTGTTCCTGTTTCTGATCCATTAACAGCAGGTGTTCTTGATCCAGTAAGTAATAATAAATCCACAGACTATTCAGGTTCAAATGGCCGAGTGCTCAATGGGAGTTTAAAGCCTATCGACTGCACGTAACCTGATCACCACCAGACAAGAATACTTTAATATCTAAAATATTAATGCAAGTAAAACTCTCAGTATAATATATATATATATATATATATATATTATATATATATATATAATATATATATATATATATAACGTATATACCCTGAAGTTTACCTTTATCCCTATTTTAGTGATTTAAGTATTTTTGTCTGGTGGTGAACAAGTTAGGTGCAGCCTTAATGACGCTAGAGGAGTAGATAGGCTTTAAACCCCCATTAACTAACCAACCTGGCAAACATTTCAGTGAGTATTGCTTGTTACCGTCAGTTCCCTGAATTAAACCCGAATACCTTCCACATTTCTCCTCCCCTACAGGCGCTGTATATTCCCACGGGTTTAGTGCTCTCCTCTTGATTATAACTATAATGATAATAATTGTTACCGACAACAATGACAGATGTGTCGTTTCCTGTTTGCTTTCTCGATTT